ACTAGGGGCTCCTGGCCGTACTACTAGGAGCATCCTTACTACTAGTATAACAAGAAGCTACTAGGAAAATAGATTGATTGTCAAGTCTGTCGGATATTGACCTGAAGCAGGAGGCCATGCTGGGCAATGAGCTGGTACTCCTCAGCAAGGGCATCTGCCAGTGCCATAACATACGCCTTGTGATCGTTGAAAACCAGGTCCCGGCAAAAGAGTGCCATTGTTCCGGGAGAGGGCACTGAGTGGAAGCAATCCTGAGACATCAGTCTACATATGCATGATGTAATGATATGGATGATATGGATGATATGGATGATATGGATATATATCTATATGTGTCAACATATATATATATATATATGGATGATATCATGTGACTACTATGGTGTGGCAAAACTGATCAAAACTGGCTCTGTTGGATTCCAGCAAAGTGGTTGGCAAGTCGGAGACGTGCCAAGAATCCAAGACCGATTTGCCCGCTGCAGCCACTGCAGTCACGAAGGCCTTCAAGTTGGGGATTTCTGGAGCGATGTACTTGGGATGGGCCACACATGCCAAGCCACTGACAGCCTCTCGCTTGGGGTTCAAGGTGATCAACCCATTACCTCCTGAGAAGCGTTGAGCGTACAGCGGCACATCCAGCATATCAGCTGCAAGTGGCATGGCATGTTTGTTGCAGCAAGCTGCTGAAGCTGCTAAGGCTGCTGAAGCTGGCCCCATGTCACCACCATTCAGACCTGACACACGATTGATCACGTCAGAGATGTAGTTCTCCCGACCCCACTCGCCATCATTGATGACGTCCAGGTCGATTTCTGTTTGTTGAAGAATTACCTGAGTAAAACATCGGTAGTAGTTACTCAAACTACTAGCTACCTCTCTCTACTAGCTACTTCCTGCCTCTACTGGTCTGCTCCCCCCTTAGAAAAAGAAAAACTTGATTTCTATCCGTGGAACCAAATCAATCGGATTTCCAGACTTATCTGGCCGAGGAAGTGAGCCCACATGGGTCGTCCGAATCCACTGACCGTCGTCACCGTCGTCACCGTGGTCGTCACTGGACATCACGCGCTGCTCAATGCCGGTCTTCTTCGCTTGCACCACAGGTACCACAGGTGCCACAGGTACCCTCACAGGTGCCACAGGTGGCACGACAGGCGGCACGGGCAGATCGGGCAAATGGACAGTTTCAAGCTGAACAGAGTCCAACTTGCTGGCGATGGCGCGACATGTCGGTTGATCCATGATTTTCTCCACTCCAATGCAGCCAGGACCAAATTTGTCCTGCGCCGATAGTGTCAGTGGGTCACCTGCGGTCACCTGCGGTCACCTGGTGCAAAAGGGAGGGGGGTAGGGGGGTAGACCGATAAGTAGCTAGGTAGGTAGCTAGTAGTTTGAGTAACTACTACAGACTGGACGCAGGATAGCTCGCGCTTCTTCAAGGAAGCTAGAAGCGCTCGCACTAATGATTTGGTTCCTAGATTGTTAGGGACACTTAACTAATAGCGATGACCTGTCTTCCTTTTCCTTTTCCTTTGTTTCTAAGAGCGATGGCCTCCAACCTACCATGACATGATGGATCTGGAACGAGCAGGTCTCACATGGTTCATCGCACGTTGTCAAACAACAAAACTCTTGTGACTTTGCGATCAACATGTCGCAAAAACGCTGCAAGGACCCGATCGCCAAGTCCTCCAACAAGCCAAGCAATTCAGCCAAACCCAAGGAATCCAGTCCCAACTCATGTAAATCTGCATCTACATCCACAGATCCATCGCCTCCCACGATGGACAGGACAGCGCTGCTGACGAACCTTAAGCGGTTTATCATCGCCACATCCTCAAGCGTCCAAAACCGAACATGCTTGCAATTGTTTGTACGTGTGCTGAAGATGATGAACCAAACATTTGGGTAATTCTGGTCTCGTGGTCTTTTCAGAAACGTTGACGTTGACAAACATCCTGTCCTCCACATGCTCATCGTGCATGTCGCCTTGGTTCTTAGTCGTAGTTTCCGATGATCCAGCGTTGGGCAAAGGTCTGGTGAAATCTTCAGCTGGAACACCACTCGGTGCTGAGAAATCCTCACAACCTGCTTCATGTGAAATCACAACCTGCTTCGGTACCGCTTCGCTGCCGCTACCGCTCTGACGCTCCTCTGTGCGTGCCTCGTACGGTGGGCGGTTCGCACCTTCTCTCGGAGCTGTGATGACCACGTGTGCATTGCTGCCAGCAAAGCCGAAACTGGAAATACCCACCTTGGCATCCTCCATGAGAACACCTGTCAGATTGGATATGAGTGATATAAATTGCAACGCTAAGAACATACAAACATTCATATAAATTACATAGGTCTTCTATCTTTTTCTTCGTCTTTCGCGCAGCAAACCTTCCTCTCCCAGCTTGAGACAGGAGCCCTCCATGGCAGCCATCACCTGCGGGTTCAGCCTGCCGATCTTAAAGGCCGGTACCCTGCGACAGGCGAGATGCGAAGAAATGAAGGCACCGGCAAAGGTCTTTCGCTAGTAGAAACAATAAGCTACTAGGAACAAGTGCATCGCTACTAGGAGCAAGGGCCTTACTAGTAGTAACAAGAAGCTATTCGAAACAAGAATTAAACTAAATTCAATTAGCAATTCTGTTTTACCCTTCGACAGGCAAGAGAAGCTAGTAGATACAATAAATAGAATTTAGTTAGAATTACTGTAAGGGTAATTTAAAGTCGTTCAAGATGAAAAAAAACTGCGGCTTCTTTGGGTCAAGACTCCAGTGTTTTCTACTTTCGCGATGTTCCCTTCGGACTCGGTGTCACGTTGGTAACTTGGTACATCCTGGTACTGGTTTTGTACTTTCGCATCCGGGACTGTCATGGCTCGCATTCCCCGTTCATGCAATGGCCTTACCGCTTGCGTTCTCAGCTTCACAGGTGAACAAAGTCCGTGAAGCAGAAAAGCGACCGTTTAGATCTTTAGCGAGGATGGCTGTTCCCAGGACGGTGCTTCCCAAGCCGACGCGAGACCGAATTCGTGGGGCCGAGGCCGAAGTGCTTCGCTCTTAAGCTCTACTTAGGGGCCTTTGTGTTCTTTAAAGCTCTGCCTTTGCAACTCTTAGATCTAAATTTGGTCCCCACTCTCGTCGAAGCGATGGAAAAACCATGTTCAAAGCGTTGGACATCTGTGACCTGTTGGTCGACAGTGGAATACTGCGGAAGGTGAGTGGGTGTGAAATCACATACGCCTCTTTGAGATGTGTACAAAGCATATGGCCTCCACCCAGGAACAAGGGCATGACTACTAGGAACAAGAAGCTACTAGGAGCAAAGGGCATGACTACTAGGAGCAAGAAGCTACGAACAGGGCTCCTGGCATCGCTATTAGCATTCTTGCTACTAGGAACAGAGTTTGGACCTGGACCTGGGGGCGCGCACTGCTCACGCGTCCCGGCCGGGCCATCGCCCTGTTTTTCCTGCACCTGCCTGCGATGTTGGCACATCAGCATTGCTTTCAGCAAGCCAACAGCACCGGCAGCAGACTCCAAGTGTCCCACGTGCATCTTGGCTGCGGTCATCCAACACGTGGAGTCTCCAAGTGTCCTGGATCGCTGCGTACGGCATTGCTAAGAAGCTACGTCTTGGAACACCTCACTTAAGTTTCGATCGAATCAAATGAAAAAGCGTGATCTCTGCCAACTCCGTTAGCTACCTATAGCTACCTACCTACCTACCATCTACTACCTACCTACCTACCTACCTTCCGTCCTGGCCAAGGCCGAGACTTCGACGGGGTCGCCCAAGGGCGTTCCGGTGCCGTGCAGCTCCACGGCGGAGAGCTCCGAGGGACTGAGCCGGGCGTCGGCGCAGGCCAAGCGAATGGCATGCTCTTGGGCGAAAGGATCCACGGACGACAAAGGCCGACGCCTCACAGGTGAGAAGCCAATCATCATATATCATCATATATCATATATCTAGGTGTCTTCCTTTTCCAGAAATACATCATTTACATCTTCTCAACGGAATGTGTCACCTGGAGTTCTGGGTCACTGCCGAGCCCAAAATGCGTCCACAAGAAGGAAGGCGCAAGTCCTCTCGAGCCAAAAGGAAGAGCACTCCACCTTCTCCACGCACATAGCCATCGGCCTCGGCCGAGAAGGTGTGGCATCTGCCGGAAGGACTTAACATCATCGCTCGGCGCAGCTGGTGGAAAAGCTGTAGATCTTCACCGAACAAGTTGACTCCACCAACAATCGCAAAGTCAATCCGTCCAATCTTGGCATCTTTCAATGCTTCATGCACTGCGACCAATGCAGAGGAACATGCCGTGTTGATCGTCATGGCTGGGCCCTGCAAGTCATAAGCATTGGCCACCCGTGCGGCCAAAGCACTCAAGGAAGTACCAATCGTCTGATAGGCCGAGGTCCCACCCGTCGATGGTGCCACCTCTTGCCAGGCACCGATGTAGACGCCGACCCGCTCCCGAGCTTCTCGTAAAAGCTTCAAGATCTCCGGCCCTGCGGGGGTCGCTTCGACGTCTTGGAACATCTCAGCTGCCAATTGGAGGGCAAAGGCGTGCTGGGGATCCATGGCAGCTGCCTGGAGCCGTCATGACGCTACGAACGGAGCAAAGGGCATAGGGCATCGTTAGGAGCAAGGACACTACTAGGGGCTCTTGGCCATACCACAAGCAGCAAATAACTACTAGGAGCTCTTTCGCTGCGCGGGCGGGGGTAGAAGATGCTTCTCTCCAGGCCAACGCTCTCAGGTTGGAGGCCAACGCTACGAGCTTGGAGGCCAGTGCTATCAGGTTGGGATCGAGATGGAACGAGCCACAAACAACTGAGGCGACCACCTCATCGAACACATCGATGAACATCACTCAACGATGATCAGCGCCATTTGTACCAGTCTTTGAGTATCGCTTTTGGTCAAACTGTATTCTAACGGCATTGTGCAATTGAACAGGAGGCCATTCCATTCTACATGGCGTTCTCTTGCTCTCCCGGGTGTCACCCGTTCTCTCCCCAGGTGAAACGCATGGCACTTGACGCAGCTCCGGAGTCGACTTGTTGACACAGGTCGATTCCGCTAGCTACTAGCTTGTAGCGACGGTCGATTCTACGGGCGTTTCGGAAAGAAAAGGATTCATAGGGAGTACAACGATCGACACTCGACTCGTGTCGACGTAGACTGACCTCGGCTCTGCTTGAGCTATGCACAATCCGTCGATATTTCTGGCCTGACTAGGAGCGATCGGACGCCGCTAGTAACAAAGGGCATCGCTACTAGGAACAAGGACGCTACGATTGGGGCTCCTGGCCTTAAGCAAACGTCGAACTCCCATCGAGAAAGTGTGGCCAGCTCGCTCACAGCTCACATCACACATCAGCACCATTTGCAAACAAATCGCTGTTTCAAGCCCATCTTGCAGGTCTACATCATCGGCGCGACGACCCCACCGCTTGTTGCTTGGCCGCGTAGCTCTCGAACGATTGTGGGCCGTGATTGGCATAGATTGGCAGGACATGTTGGAAAAATGCAGCAAAAATAAGGTAAAGGGCCTTATTAAAGAGGCCCAGAGGCCCATCCTTTCACCACATTTTTGTGTGGGGTTCTGACCTTACTCATTTGCCTTCTCACACTATCTCTGCTGACACCAACTCAAAACACGCCAACTCAACCACTCACCACTCAACTCAACTCAACTAAACTCACTCACTGCCCTTCTTTGCGTTGGGTTTTGCGTCTCTTAAATTAAAGGGATGTGAGGTTTTGGGATGAGGCTCGCTCTTATTGAACAGGGCTGTTGAGGCTGTAAAATGTACAGAAATGGTTGGGAAGAATATTGTGCCATTTGTCCCTGGCAACACCGCAACACCGTCGCCACACATGCCGGCTTGAGACAAAGGAGAACTGCTAGAATCGTGGAGCTAGGAGGGAATTGGACTTTCTTCGTGTTTCTTTTGCGGAGGGAATTGCTAGGATAAAGAACTGGACAGCTAGGAGATCAATGAAGATGTTTTGTGTTTTCTTGGAGATTGTCACGGTGCTAAAGAACCTAAGGTTGGACAAGAAGTTCAATGAGTGGCTGCACCACAAAGAATCGTGGGAAGGCGACAGCGGCGACAGCACAGTTTGAGAACCAGCTTGTTCTTTGAATCGCTTCAACCGTTAGAAGACGAAAGAATCAAAGAAGCACCGTGTTGCGTGTGTGTCGTCCGGAAATGGTGCCTCTGCACCTTCTACACCATCCACAGCAGCCGCCACTTGATCGAAGTGCAGAAAGGCAGCAGTGATCCCTGGCAGCTTGGATCTGAAAGCACTGCTCTGGTCATCTTTTTCCAGCAAGGACCAAAAGGCACCTGACAGTTTGTCAGAGGGGTGAATCCCGTAGTGAAACAAATGATTTGTCAACCACCTCCAAAGTTACTGAAACATTGTCGAACACTTGAGGAACATCCTGAAAATGCTGGTGAGTTCACTGCGATTCTGGTCCTTCACTAGGATAAAACTCTTATTCCACCTCCAAAGTCACTTCTGTCTAAATAAGCATCTGAGGTCGGTTGAACAAGTTAGCCCTGGATGTGTAGCTAAGCTGCGGCTGATGAGAGTGCCATTTGTCGGAGGAACGGCCATTCCCCCCAAGGTGTGTGCGTGTGTACCCCCCGTCTTACCCTCTGAAGAATTGGACGCCACACAAAAAACAGCTCTTGGCTTTTCTTCCAAAGAAGTCCCCCCCTTTTTGCACATGAAACATTACAGCTCAGGACTGGCTCAACTACCACACCTGGAGAAGCCACTCCTGCAGGCAAGCGCAGCCCACAACCCAAAATGTCCAGCGCTGTAGCTGTGTGAGACCATCCGATGTGACCATCGGTGTCAACCGTGTCCCAATGTTGGATGAGTTTCTCCAAGGAGTTGAAACGGTAGAAATCGTAAGCTGCCAACATGGGGAAGAACTTCTCCAGTTGCTGAGCCAATGAGACCAAATGTTGTGACCCGATGCCTTGATCTTCAAAGCTGATCCTCAAGTCGAGCTTTCAACTGAAGTTTCCCTAAGCATCTAGGAACCAAATGAATAGTGCAAACCCGAACTATCCTGCGTCCATACCAGTAGTAGCTAACACTACTAGCGATTCCGTTTGCTTCTACTAGCTACCTAGCCACTTCCTACCTATCTCCACTCGCGGCCTATCCCCTCTAAAAAAATAAGATAAACAAATATATATATATATAATATGAAGAGAAAAAAACACGATATGATTTTCAAGGTTCCTTTTGATTTAAACAAAACACTACCTCGTTTCGACGTTCACATCGGCGGGCCACGGCGGCCACGCAGTGAAACAAATGAAGCACAGAATATGAAACGGATCAAAAAGTATTGTCATACATATTCATAAATATCTAATACACACATAGATAGATAAATATATATATATATAATAGCCATGCTATGGGGTCTTGCAAAACTAATAGGCGGACGGGCGCCGTCGGGTCACCGTCAGAACTGGTGGGCCGATGGTGTCCCGGTCATGTTGTGACGGTGTCCCGGTTGTGTGATGATGGTGTCTAAGGAAGAGATGGTCGATGTGTTGAAAACAGCAGCTGTTTCCAGATTTTGGTATTTGTCCCGGTTTGTATCGCGCTATTGAGGTCTCCAGCTGGGCTAGTTTATTAATATCAATATGTATTAACATGTAATATTTTGTGATTACGTGAATACATGTTGATACCGTCATCGACCAAAGATGTTTGACAACTTTTTTCTCTGCATACTCCAAACGTCTCAAAGTCGGCATGTAGCTGAAGCTGCTGCTGACTCACCATCTCCTGCAGCTGGGAGCGCAACGTCTCGTTGGAGCGCAGCATGGCCCGGGAGCGGCGCAACACGTGGCCCGTTTTCTCGCCACGACGCATGGAACACGCGTAGGTCCACGCCAGGTCCTCGAAGCTCGCCTGCAAGGTGAGGGCGTGGAAGTAGACTAGGAGCAAGAAGCTACTAGGGGCTCCTGGCATCGCTACTAGGAGCAAGAAGCTACTACAGGCTCCTGGCATCGCTGCTAGGGGCAAGAAGCTACTAGGGGCTCCTGGCATCTCTACTAGGAGCAAGAAGCTACTAGGGGCTCCTGGCATCGCTGCTAGGGGCAAGAAGCTACTAGGGGCTCCGGGCATCTCTACTAGGAGCAAGAAGCTACTAGGGGCTCCTGGCATCGCTGCTAGGAGCAAGAAGCTACTAGGGGCTCCAGGCATCGCTACTAGGAGCAAGAAGCTACTAGGGGTTCCTGGCATCGCTACTAATGGCAAGAAGCTACTAGGAGCTCCTCCCATTACTACTACTACAACCAAGAAGCTATTAGGGGCTCCTGGCATCGCTACTAGGAGGAAGCTACTAGGGGCTCCTGGCATCGCTACTAGGGCTTCTGGCATCGCTGCTGGGAGCAAGAAGCTACTAGGCTCTCCTGGCTTCGCTACTAGAAGCAAGAAGCTATTAGGAGCAAGAAGCTATTAGGGGCTCCTGACATCGCTACTAGTAGCAAGAAGCTACTAGGGGCTCCTGGCATCGCTACTAGTAGCAAGAAGCTACTAGGGGCTCCTGGCATCGCTACTAGGAGCAAGAA